CCCCAAAACCCCAAAACCCCAAAACCCCATGAAGTAAAAATATTAATTAAAAGTTAAAATTTTTTAGAAATATTAATAAGATCTCAATAAAACATAAAATGAAAAACTTTTTTTTGAATGTCTTTGAGCAGCCTAAAAAGGAAAAGTCAAAGACCCGTCTAGAGGAAGTATTTGAACGCAAGCTTGAGAAAGAAATTTAGTAGCACTAGCAGGCAAAGGTCTGCTTTACTGAGCCAGATAAGCACGATATGAATTCATAAGGGAGCAAGATTACAAGGAAGACTTCAAATCACAACCAGCACTACCACAACTAGGATGATGACTAGCCAGTAGTAAAGCTTCTAAATCCCTTGGCTTCTCGAGGACCTGGGGGAGTTCCATTAAGCGTGGCTGAGCAGGCTCGGTAGAGGGATCTCTTGCTCTAGGAGGGGGCCTTTAGGAGACTAATAATCGATGAAAATTTGCAGTATCAATTCGAGCAGAGACTGGATGAGATTGAGCGATTACAAAAAACTCAGAATTATGCTTTATACGAGAAAGATTATGAGATTTTTGACAAGAGCAAAATGCAACACAAGATCGTATTTGATGCAATTGATCATCTCTAAGCTACTAAGTAGATTCAAAAAGAGTTAGATTCAAGAAAATAGGACTATAAAACCTACATTAAATCCCAGATCAACAGACAAAAGCCACTGTATACTGAGGAAAACTATCATATAATTTACGAAGAAGCAGCTAATCTGAAATCCCAGCTTGATGAGGTATCAGAAGAGCTGAGTGAACTGCAAGGAAGGTACTTCTAACTAGAGAGTCTGAGCAAAAGTCAAGGCTTAGAGATTGACTACCTGAGGGAATAGCTAACTAAAACAACTGCTGATTATGAGCAAAACACTAGATTGGCAAGATCTTTCAAGACTAAGTTAACCCTGGCCCGCAGGCAAAATGAAGAGCTTACCCAAATGAAGAATCAAGAGATATACAAGTATTTTAATGACTCAGAGTTACAATAATCAAAGATAGAGCAGCTTAATCAGCAGATTGAAAACTTGATGTAGTAAAACGTGGAATAGGAAAAACTAAATCAGAAACTCACTAACCAGATCGAAGAACATAAAATGAAAAAGAGACTTAAGAGACGGAAGCTAAGGGAACTTGAAGAGATGTAAATCGATATTGATCAGAAGATGTGCAGAACTTTGCATTTCCTGCTGAAGGGCAAAGCAATCATGAAGCTAACTACTGAGTTCCTGACATTCAGGGAGTACAGCGACCTTGGAGCAATCAACAAGAGATTCTACAGAGACCTGAGGGGGTCAATTGGTGCCAAGTCTTGCATGCACTATATCAAAATAAGGCATATTGACCAGTAGCCTCAGTATACAATCCAATATAAATATAATGTAGGAGGAGGTTCAATCGCTCAGAAGCTGAATCCTAACATGCTAAGTCCAATGGTAGGCAATTAGATGCTCTGTGAAAATGATATCTCATTTAATTCAAATCGAAGTGGAGGATAAGGCAGAATGCATAATTACTCTATTGCAAGTAGTGCAGGTATGATGGGAAATACTATGGACATTATGCAATACGCAAATAATGTCTCTCAAACAGAACTTTAAAAATTGTAGAATGATGAGAGAGTAAAATACTGTATCTCAAAATACATTAACGAGGATCATAAAGTAGCTCTCCAATGTGAAGCTACTATACAGAGAGCATCCTCTCTATTAATAAGCTATGCCTAAGCTGTTTTTACGGAGGATGAGATCATTTAAATGAAGAAATAATCAGCTTTAGAAGATTCTTATGATACTTCTTTTGATGTGCCTCATCAGTAATCAGAAGCCACTTAAGTGGTAAAATCTTCAATAAAACAATCATTTGGTTCAATCATGAACATTTTTGGATCTAACAATAACAACAATAGTTCTAGTTAAAATAGAGGAACAGTCACTTCTAAAAAACAAAATTAACCACAAATTAACTCATCACACATCATTACTACTTCAAATATGTATGGAAAAGATGTAAACAGCTCGATGTTTTAGGCTGACTAAACCACTCAACCATAGAATTCTACTATTTTAGAGAATTAAATAAGATAGGGATTTTTCTTGCATTTTAAAAACTCTGAAGATGTCTATAAATACTTAGTCAAAGTTGGAACTGTGCTCATTGTTGAAAAAGATAAAATCACTTAACTTTTTAAGCGAATCCAGCACTCTTACTCAGAGTTATTCTATCACGGTCGCATCTTATATCGAGAATGCAAGGATTTAGAGCTACTTAAAGACTATTTTAAGATGAGGTTGTCTTATTTGAAGTAAAAACTTAATGTTACAGAGAAGGAGAAAGATGAATTAGAAAAAAGCATAAAAAAGGAGAGAGAGAAAAAAGAAGAATTCTTTAAGAAATCTAATATGATGGAAAAAAGGTGCCTTGAAGCATAAGCTGAGCTAGTCTCACATAGATAGAAAAGTTACAAGTTTGATGATCAAAATAAAAGATTAGAGAAAAAATTAAGAGATCTTGAAAATGAGTATTAAGAGAATAGAGAGAGGCTAGAAGGAGAGAACCTTGCATTAAGGCAGATGTATGAGAAAATGGCATCATAAAAAGATTAGCTACAAAGGGCTTTATCATAATATGAGAAGTTCTTAATTAGCACATTGGCCAAGTCTATGAATTGAAAATAAATTGTAAAATGGTATTTTAATATTTAAAACTTTTATTCTATTTCAATATGATTGCTATTAAAAGGGGTTTTGGGGTTTTGGGGTTTTGGGG